CCCCCAATGGCCGTGCTATTGACTGAAGTGTCTTTAGGCCATTCCCAAAGGGGGGATATCAACATGTCATGCGCAGTAGAATTGTTAATGGGCTGATTTATAAATGTCATGCTCATACTGTGTCGGAAAAACATAGGGGGAACTGCTGCATTTTCTTTCCTCATCCTAAATATCGTCATTTTTTCCTCTACTTCTTTTGTGTGTTTGTCAGTCTCTTGTGATAGTTGAGGCAGACTGCATGCTGTTGAGGCTAGTGAGGTCAGCAGAGTAAGCCTGAATTCCCATTTGGACTTCTTTGTTGACATCCACCCCTTGGCACTCATAATATGACCTTTTGCAGTTATGAGCGTCGTCAAACCTTACTAAAACAAACGAAGGTAAGCAGCAGTGAATGAATCTGCGCAGTTTGTGGGAGTCTCTGTTGGCTTGTCGTGCGGAACTGGCGCTGTGTTGTCCTCTCTCCTACCAGAACTTATTTTTGGTTCCGGGTAATGAACTCCTGCTACAGGTCCAGTAATGTTGATAGATGGATACATTCGCCTGCTGTTTGTCTCTGTCACCGCTTGAAAGACGAAGGAGAACGCTGCTAAAGCAGACATTTGCCGAGGACAGATAACAACATTAGTTTGACGGAAACAGACAGCAGACTTTACTTTAGACAAAAGATGTTTGTAGTTTATAGTCAGTGTTTGGACAAAAGATTGTCTGTCGGGACTGGCATGTTTTATGGTAAGTGATTATAGAAATCGACAAAAGCTTATGATAAACTTGGGAAAAAACAGCGCTTGGTTTGTCGGTTCTTTTTCCCTCTCAAAAGTTTTTCAGTGTCAAGGACGTTTTTTTGTTTTTTTTTAATTTGTAAAGTGTTTTACGGCGCTCGCAACTGCATAAGGTCATATGAGCGCGCGGGACACATCTAATATTTTCAGTAGGTAGGAAATTTTGAATTTTGCTCGGGTGGATGCCGAAGCCTACTCTTATTGATTTTAGACCACCAAGGGATCTTTAACGTGCGCAACTTGCACACGGACCCTCCGAGATTTTTCGCCCTCGTCCGAGAAGGCTAGGAGTAGATCTTTCCTACCAGAAGATCAGGGGTGTGGCAGAAAGACAGCTGTAAGAAGGAGTCAAGGAGTAGCAGTAGAAAGGCTGCAGAAAGAGTCAGGAGCCAAGAGGAGGGGGCAAAGGAGGTGAGGGGGTGGGGGCAGAAAGAAGAGATGAAAGCAGACGACAGAATATTGCTAGAGAGCAGGAAAGGAGGTGAAAGGAGACAATTTTAGAGAAGAAATATTTTTGGTCGCCACCCGGATTCGAACCCGGGACCTTTGAATGAGAGGCCAACACCTTAACCTCTAGGCCGCGAGAGCCCCCAAGGACGTTTTGTTGTCTCCAACAGCCAAGGATGCTGTACACTGTACTAAAACGAACTAACCTGTTGCAAGTGCCGTAAAACTCTCACTAAACTTAATTAAAACCACACAAAAAACATCAGGTGAGTCCCTGGGTCAGGGAGGTTTTTCATGAAGCATTCTCGTCTTTCTGCAGCGATACGACCCCCACCCCCACCTCACGCACACTCCGACACACACCTTCAACTCCCCCTCCTTTCCCACCCACCCCACTCCAACACCCACACACCCCCTCCCCACACCACATGCACCCAGAACCCTCCCCACCCCCAACTCCTCCTCTCCTGCCCCCCCTCCCCCTCCCCACCCCGTCGCCCACACAGACACAGACACAATACAAGATTGATGGAAGAAGTCCACCTCCTAAAGGACTGCAGAAAATTGAGGATAATTTAGTTTAGTTTTAGTAGAGGTTTTACGGCGCTCGCAACGGCATAAGGTCATATGAGCGCCAGAAGATTAAAGGACAATGTACAAATGACTTCGTTAGAGCAGACAGACACAAACAATTGACTACAGCGACACATTCCCTCACCTTTTTGCAGGAACAAGAAATAAGCTGAGGATTTGAGTTTGTTATTAGAGAGTAATAATAATAATAATAATAATATATAACATTTATATAGCGCATTTCCAAAAAAGTAGCTCAATGCGCTTTAC